CAAAACAGATATTTCACTGGGCCAAGTTCACTGGCCTGCGCCCTCTCTGGTGGCTCTAGGGGAGAAGCTTTATGCTTGCCTTCCCCAGCTTCTCACGGGCATCTTCATCTTGGCTTCAAAGTCAGTAGTGTAGTAACTTCCAGTCTCTGCTCCTCTGCTTCTGTCATCGAGTGTTCTGTGACTCTGACACTCATGTCTTCCTCATCTTGAGGTTCAGATGACAACATGAGGTCCACCTGGCTAACCCAGCATAACCTCCCCATCTTAAGATCTTTCATGTAATCTCATCTGCAAAGTCCCCTTTGCCAGGTGAGGTAATGCAGCTAAGGATGGGGCATCACTGGAGAGCCATTGTCCTGTCCACTACAGACATTTGCTCAGAGGGCAAGTTCATGAGCCCCACTGCTCAGAGGGAGGGGCCAGGAGGGTGTGGAGGAAACTTCAAAGCATGGATCAAACACCTGCACCGGGGATTTCTCGGTGCTCAGGTGCTTCCAGTATGCCTCCAAATTTGAGAATTACTTTGACAGAGCATGTGGAGTAAAATCTGGCTCTAGGATTCCTGGAGGTGACAGATCAAGAGCCTCAACTCTGGGTACACACTGCTATCAGTTGGAAAATTTGGAAAAAATTTCCCTTTTGAAATACAAGTAGGGTTGCAAAGACAGCACAGAAAACCAATGTACACCTCTCATCCATCAGCCTCAAGGTTAGCGTCTTACATCACCAAGGAACACACAAAAACTAAGAAATCAACATTAGAACGGGGTTACTAACTGCATGGAAGGCTTTATTCAGAATTTCCCAATTTTCCACTAATGCCCCTTTTTTCGTTGTGGAATCCAGTTTAGCACCTCTCGTTGCATGTAGTCACCCCTAGTCTGTGTCAGTTTCTCAGTCTTACCTTGTTTTCTCATCACCTTGAGAGGTAGTGAGTAATGATGGGTGTTTTGTCCCTTAATGTGTTTGTCTAATATGTTCTCAGGATTAGAACTGGGCTTTGAATTTGGGGGAAGGACACCACGGGGGTGAGATGCTCTTCCTACGACATCATAGAAAGGGAGTGTGTGATGTCAACATGACCAGTTACTGCTGCTGTCCACGTTGACTGCTTGGTTGAGATGGTGCCTGCCAGCTCCCTCCACTGTAAAGACATCATCCTTTTCCAGTTCCTAAGTCCTGCCCACACTGTAGGGGAGGGGTTGTGTGAGGTGCTTTTACTCCCATGATTTCAATCTGGCAAATCATCTCACTGCTTTTAAAAGGTGTGGTTGTGCTGGACATGGCAGCTTACACCTGTAATCCTAACTACTTAGGAGGCAGAAGACCTTGGCTTCAGGCCAGTTCTAAAAAGCTGGGTGTAGTGGCATATGCCTGTCATCCCAGCTATGCAGGAAGCATAAATAGGAGAGTCACAGTTCAAGCTAAACACAAGACCCTATTTGAAACATAATTAAAAAGGCTGGGGTTGTGGTTCAAGTGATATAGCACCTGCCAAGCAAGTATAAAGCTATGAGTTCAAGCACCAGTACTGCCAAAAGAAAAAGATATGGTTGTAAAGAGCTATCCTTACATGGGAGGTAAGAATAGCATTCCCATAGGGTTATCATGAATGTTACATGGATTGATAAACATGTTCAGAACAGAAGCCAGCACATATGTGTGTGTAGGAAGTGAGTCATGATTCGAATTTATCATTGTAGACTGTACTCAACATGTTTAAAAATACTGAACTCATATCTCTAGAACAGGAATCAACAGATTTATGATCCACGCCCACAGCCTGTTTTTGTAAATAAAGTTTTATTGGCACATTGCCACAGTCATATGTTTATGTGTTAGCTCTGTTATGGCTGTTTTTGTATCACAACAGCAAAGATGAGTACTTGCAACCGAAACTCTGTGGCCACTAAAGCTAAAATGTTTACTCTCTGGCCCTCTAGATGAGTGCCCTTGCCTAGAAGTCATCTCCTAACGCAGGGGTAGTAGACACCTTTTCCTAGTTCATATGCCCGTCATGTCCCAGTCCTGGCAGATAGTCACTGCCCCTGCATGCTGCTCCAGGCTGTGTGGCTTGAGACATTTTGGGTGTATGGGGGCTCAATCCCCTTCTGTTTTGGAATGATTCCTACAGGATGGAAGACTAGTGACATGGTACTCTGGTTAGGGTCCCAGTAGGAAACAGATGGCGACTCAAATTAAAATAATTTGAAGAGTAGTTCAAACCCCAGTCCCACCAAAAAAAATAATAATTTGAGGAGTGTTTAATAAAGAGGCCATCTGCAAGGGTGAGGGCAAGGTGCAAAAAGGTCACAGAGTGTGGAGAAGTGGCAGAGGACTCAGTAAAAGCAAAGCAGGATGGGACAGGGGGAGGCGTGATTCCTGAATTTGAGAGTCATTTACAGAGGACCTCTAGTCCAGGGAGGAAAACTAGTTCCAAGTGACCATGCAGAGGGAGCTAGGAGACAATGCCTCAATCTCACCCTTCTCCATTTTTGATCTCTTGGGAGCCTCTCTTGGTCAAAGTAAAATGAAGCCAGAGGGCATGGGGACCTTGGTGGGCCCCCCATGGGTCAGCTTCCTAGGGCAGAGAGTTGGGCAGAGAAAGGTAGAATGGAGCATGACAGGGCAGCTCCCGCCAGCCCACAGAAGGACTTAGGAAAACAGGTGTAAAAAATACATCTGACAAAGGCACAAGTTGCCATAGCATTTCTCTGTTGCTGCCTTCTTCTGTGTCTGCCAACCTCCCAATAGTTATTATAGGGTTCATCTTCCTAGATCTTATCCTCACCAGAGGGGCAGAAGGTTATGCACAGGGACACAGATAACCTGCTGTGTGTGTGCTCACATGTGTGTTCATCTGAGCAGAATGTGATTAGTATATGTAGATTCTAGCTAAAGTTCTTCAAGTTCCATCTTTTGATCTTAAGCAATAGTCGTGTTGCATTCATCTCTATAGCCTAGTTCAAGTCTAGCAGAGCGAGCCAACCTCTGGCCTCTTGGGAGAAAGAACCAGAGTGAAAAAAGCTACCTAGGCTGATAAATGTCCCCACACCCATTGGCCAGATCCCCCTCCCCCATAGACAGACAGCAGATACACACACACACATGCCCAGTCCTTCTCTATTGATATCTGATATCTCACAGGCCATCAAACTGCAGCAAGTCACTACTCTGGCCAGTCTAAACACTCAGTTTATGAGAAACAATAGACTCTTAGAGAGGAGGGGCGTGGCTTACATAGCACAGCCCACCCTACTGCAGAGCTGGGTCTAGAATTCAGGACTGGAGTCTGTAATCACTTTACATCTTTTTCTTATAGAAGGCAAAGTTGATGCCCATCTGGAAGTCCTAAGAATAGGCTTGGCAAAAATGCAAAACGTAGTTTTAGGCAAGTTTCCTTGTTGGGCTCAGCTGAGACCACCACATATCTGACCCACTTTTTCTTATAGAAGGCAAAGTTGATGCCCATCTGGAAGTCCTAAGAATAGGCTTGGCAAAAATGCAAAACGTAGTTTTAGGCAAGTTTCCTTGTTGGGCTCAGCTGAGACCACCACATATCTGACCCACTAGCCCCCAGGAAACAGTCTCTGCAGGGTCAGGCAGTCAGTGGTCAAAATCCTACCTGTTAGTGGCTCTTTGACCTTGAACTTGTTACTTTTTGTTTCTGAGATAGAGCTCTGTTTATGTAACATAGTCAAACTCGTCATCTTCCTGCCTTAGCCTCCCCAGTGCTTCTGTTACAGCTATGAGCCACGAAGGCAAAGTTGATGCCCATCTGGAAAGCCTAAGAATAGGCTTGGCAAAAATGCAAAACGTAGTTTTAGGCAAGTTTCCTTGTTGGGCTCAGCTGAGACCACCACATATCTGACCCACTAGCCCCCAGTCTCTGTCAAGTGGGTCAACAATAAACCTGTTAGTGGCTCTTTGACCTTGAACTTGTTACTTTTTGTTTCTGAGATAGAGCTCTGTTTATGTAACATAGTCAAACTCGTCATCTTCCTGCCTTAGCCTCCCCAGTGCTTCTGTTACAGCTATGAGCCACCACACTTGGTATGAACTTGCTCCTTTATGTTTTCTAGTATGTGGTGCCATCATCCACCAATGAGTTGTAGTAATCCAATTCCACACAAGAAAGCATATTGCAGGGTCCAAAGGCCCGACAATGCTTTTCTTGTCTTCTCCCTTCAATTTGAAGCCTGGTGAAATATTTGTAAGCACTTTCACTAAAAGCCATAAGTCAACTGATTTGAGTGTCACTATTAGAGTTTTGTGCTCTGATCTTAAGAAATGGGGACCCTTCAAAGGAGTGGGGAGACCTCCTGGTATACTCAGAATGCTCTCACACTTTCACGGACTCAAGTATAATTAAGAAAAACCTCAAGTTTCTCCTCCCTCCTTCCCCTCAAATTTCTTCAGAAAAATGAAGGGTTCAGACTTGTAGCCCAAGTGCTCAGGTTTTAAATTAGACAACTTTGTCCTGACAGGAACCGAGTCACAGCTGTCATAGCTGATTATTTTTAGAGTTACTACAAAACCCTTTGTACAGTACGAGCTGCCACTGTTCAAGGCAAACAGAAAGACTTCACATTTTATCATGACAGCTCCGGAGCCAGCCACCTCCTCAAGTTCATTATTTCTAGCCTGTTTGGAGGGGATGATGGCGGCATCCTGACAATTTTTCAGTGAGGAAGGCAGACCCTTGTTACTATACCTGAGGGATTTAAAGCCCCCAAGCTGAGCAAAAAAGTCCACTGCCTCCAGGAAGGCGAGGGAATTATTTCCAGAGGGAAGCAGCTGCTCCATAGCTTTCTTTGGATAAACCATCTTTCCTAAAACACAAAAATCTCATCCATCAGTAACCAACCAATAAGAGCACCTGTATGCAAATGCCCATAGGTGTTGACCCAGGATTGGCCAGCTGGTGGGTGATGCCATAATTTCCCTTCTCTGACCCAACAATGCTACTATCACTGAAAAGGCCGGCTGAAGTGCAGCTCTTGCAGAGAGAAAATTTCACCGCAAACAGAGCACCTTCTAGATTGCTCCTGGCATGTGGGGACAGAAGTCTCTGCTGTCCAAGTTACTGAATCCAGAAGAAAATCATGATTTTATGAACATGGGAAAAGAAACCCAGCAAAGGCCCAAGGTGAATGTCTCTTCTTACATCCACTTTTTGCTGAGTTACAAAAACAAATTCAAGGAGCAGCAGCCAAATGCTTATCTTGGCTTTAAAGAGTTCTCTAGAAAGTGTTCAGAAAAATGGAGGTCCATCTCAAAGCATGAGAAGGCCAAGTATGAAGCCCTGGCCAAGCTTGACAAAGCCCGATACCAGGAAGAAATGATGAACTATATTGGCAAGAGGAGAAAACGAAGAAAGCGAGATCCCCAGGCACCCAGACGGCCTCCATCATCCTTCGTTCTCTTCTGCCAAGACCACTACGCCCAGCTGAAGAAGGAGAATCCCAGCTGGTCCGTGGTGCAGGTGGCAAAGGCCACAGGGAAGATGTGGTCCACATCAACAGACGTGGAAAAGCAGCCCTACGAGCAGAGAGCTGCTCTCCTGAGATCTAAGTACTTCGAGGAGCTCGACCTCTACCGCAAGCAATGTCATTCCAGGAAGAACTTCCGAGTGCAGCGCAGAGGGAGACCTGAGTCAAGCAAGCGGATGGATTCAGTTTGAAAAAATTAAATGCCATTGAACCGTGTTACCTGGCTCTGGTCTCGTGCGTGGCGTTACAGCAGCCTTTGCCGAAGTGTTGGAGAAGTGAGTGGTAGGCAGAGAGGTTGGAATTAAGGAAGTGGCGTTGAGAGAGTTGGCAGCAGTGTCCAAAGGGCCTGGATTGTCGCGCAGGGTGGAGCAGAGGTGTGACAGGCTGGGAGTCATGGTGGTTGGAGCATGTGGGTGTAAATGATATTCCAGGTTGGAGGACTTTCTTTGGACTGGAGTCGGGCAGGAATCCTAGGCCCAGCTCTAATGAGGAGGCCCATTTAGACTCCCGTTTCAGGCCCCAGTAGAGAAACAACACACCAGCAGGAACCAAGTGGAACTTTGGTGGGACCAAGCCAGCTGGAGTTCTGTTGGACCTGCAGGAACCTAGGGTTTCTCTAGCTCCAGCTACTGAGTGAGTCTCCACCGAGACTCAGGCCCAAAATAAGGCTGCTGACTATTCTAGGCTTAGAGCGTCCACCCAGTCATTTTTCTGTAGTTAAATGCATAATATTGAATTCATAACCACCTGGCACCCATTTCTCTTCCTCTGATGCCCTTTTGTGCATTAGGCTTGATCAGAAGACAGGATCATTCTAGTCACTGATTGGCTGAACCATGGGCATGTGATCTATGCTGGTCCAATCAGATTTTGTGTAGGAGTTCCAGGGGGAGGAGGCAGCCCACTAGGCTGACAGCCAGTTGCCTGAGAATGATGCCAAAATTTAGAGTTCCTTGGCATCCATTCTCCCGGACTTTTTGTTGAAGATGAGCTTTCACGTTTTATTTTTTACCAGGGATGGTTTGAGTCAGGTTTTCTGCTACCTAATAATTTGACACAAATGGGATTGTGCTTTGTCTGTCCTATAACTGGATTTTTCAGGCAACAGTATACTGTAGGCAATGTTTTATACCAATCGAGACAGAATGAAATAGAATATTGTGAAATGATACCTGCAGCCTCCTGCCATCAGAAAGATGGCACCAAAACGCTAAGCTGATAGATTGTACATGCAACAGACCTCACCATACACCTCTAACCACATTGCACCACTTGAACCTTTACTTCAAAAAGTAAAAAAATAGTTTTGAAAAGTCTTCTAGAACTGTATGAGCCCATAGGGGTGAGAAGTGATATACTGGAGTGATTCAGAAACTCATGTCTAGAATCAGGCCATTTCTGGAGGATTCCCAAGTACCAGGTCCCTGTGCTGGGCATGGAGAGGCACAACAGGGCTTGCTGTTCAGTTCCTGTCCTGATAGAACTGTCCTTCTGATGACAGAGGTGAACCTAGCATAAATCACAGCACTAGAGCCATGCTGATGAAAGTGAATGCTCAAATTGCTGGGAGAAGAATGGGGCCACTCACCAAGCCCACCCTCAAATTTTCACAAGAGGAAGCAGCCTTTACACTTTGTGGCAACCTTGTTAGCACAATGGCAAAATTCCATTTTCACTGCCTACAGCTGCTATTCCTGCCTGGCTCTGCTTCTCCTCTAGCCCTTCCTTCACCCCTCAGGAGAGCCCTCGTTTTCTGCTTCACTGAGAAACCAGAGATCATCAGACTTAAGTGTCTCGGTTTCCTTTCTCAAAATGCAACCCACACCTGACCTTTCCCCTTGGTCTCACATCTCATAGGGAGCCTCATACCTTCCTCCCACTAACTCAGGCCCTGCCTCACTCAGGCCCCTGCTTCTTGCCCCAGGGCTTCTAAGCTTGCACATGTTCACTTGATGTGGTAATGGGGTGTTTCTAAGCTTCTACTGGGAGGACATTGGGCAAGTCCTCATTCTTCTGGGTCCCAGGTTTCACATCTCTACAGTGGGTTATTTTAGTGATAAAATGAGGTGACACATGCCAAAGTATTTGGCACAGTTCCTAAAAGGGAACACCCTTTATGGTGGCTTTTCCATGATCCCCTTTCCTGGGATCCACACCCTTGTCTAATCCTTTCTTATTAAATGTCACAGGGTGTGCTACTTGGTTCTACCCAATGGTAAAGGAGGTGGAATGATTGTGATATAATAAAATACTCTATCTTGCCATCCAGTTTGCCCTGGAGATTCTCAGTGGTGTTTGATGCAGTGAGCAGCCAACTTCAGGAAGTCCATGTTGTGAGGAACTGTGGGAAATATCCAGTAGCTGAGGGAGGCTGCAAACTGGCAGCCATTAAAAATTGGAAGCCTGCATCCTACAACCTGTGGATCCTCCCCAGGTGAGCCACCAGATAAGAACTCAACCCTGGCTGACACCTTGATTGTAGCCTTGTGAGGCATCAAGCAATAGACCAAGCCAACCTTTTAATGGACTCACAGAAACTCTAAATGTAGGTATAAATGCTTAACCCTATAAAGGCATGTTGTTTTAAGTCACTGAAATTATAATTTGTTACATGGCAATAGATAACACATACATTGCTCAATGAATGCCAGCTTCCTTATAATTCTGGAAGAGACTGAATCTTATATCTCTCTCCAGCCTCTATCCTCCCATTTAATTTCCCTTCCTTTTTTACCAACTCTTGTAGGTAGCAGGTTTTCCTCACATTCTAGTGCTAATTAGACCCTGACTCTGCTGCTCTACATTGACTTCAGTGGGCCTTCTTGTTTCCAGCCTGAACTGTGGGTGCCTGGTGGACAGCAGCTTTGTGATGCACCACAATCCTCTCCAGGAAGAAGCCCCCATACAGCCCTTTGCCACCCCTTCCTGGTTTCCTGTGTGATTAATTTCCTGAATGTGGGTGGTCAAGTCAGAGTTTTGGCAGCAGTGTGCTGGGCCCCTGCTAAAAACCAACGCTATTAACAGTCCTTTATAAAAAGACAAGAGAGTATGAATATGCTGGTTTCTAATGCCCAGTAGAGGGAGAGGGAGGGAAGGAGGAGAAGTGAGGGAGCCTGGACCCAAGATGTTGAAATCTGGTACAGTGTCAGTCTCCCAGGCCTGTACAGCTGGGTTCAGGTGCCCTGTCCTTGGGAAGAGGAAGGCAGAGCCTCTGCACCCATCACCCTCCACTCTGATCCTTCTTTTTATTTTATTTTATATATTTTTTATTCATATGTGCATACAATGTTTGGGTCATTTCTCCCCCCTCCCCCTCCCCCACTCTGATCCTTCTCTTCTGTGTTCATGTAGTCATTGATTTATTATTCATTCATTCAACAAATATTATGTAAACCTTATGCTTGCAACATACCAGTAACTCTGCTGGTGCTAAAGACACAGCCAGGCCCTGATCTGTTACATTCCAGAGAGAGAGCGATGGACAAATAGGTCAATAAGTATACCAGACCAGTTTTGACCTGTCAAGAGCACTGAAGAAAATAAATGAGGGTGATGACATAAACAATGACAGGTGATCTGCAGGGCCCTTGAAATGGGTGGTCAGAGGCTCTCTGTGGGATGACATTTGGGTTTAAAAGACGAGGAGCCAGATCCAAGGGAAGAATCCTTTAAGCAAGTACCTAGGTTGTGAGGCGGGAGCAAGCATGGCAAGGCCAGAGTAACTGGAAGTGTGAGATGGGATGTGGAAGGTGTGGGGCTTGTCAAAGAGTTCATTTTTAAATCAAAGTACACTGGAGAGTCACAGAGGGGTTTCAGCAGCGGGGGATACACTGCCATCTTTGGTGTTTTGTTATTGGTCATTCTAGAGTCTTCTGAGACTATCATGTACCAACAAGGAGATGCCACCTCCTGCAAGGGCTCTAAGTGAGAGGCAGGGCTGGAAGATACCAAGCCAATGGCATTTCTCCTTATGGGGCAGAGGTAATGGAAAGCTTCCATGTGCCATGCCTTGGAGCAGCTGTAGGCTAAAAACAGAGTATAGAAACTGTAGGACTTCTCTCTCTGTGGTTTGTTTCTCCAGGAAAGGGGGGGGCATGGGTAGCAGAATATTTCCTGGGCCTCATATTTCCATGTGGGCAACTTCCACTGGACCAGTGGTTCTAACTTACTGCCTGCATTAGAATCACCTGCAGGGCTTATTAGTGCTCAGATGGCTCCCCTACCCCTTGACTCAGGATTCCCACGTGATAATAGACGCTGCTGGTCCCCAGACCACAGAAGGATCCCAGGTCCTCATTCACTCTGCTGAGGATGCTGAAGAGCTGGCCATGCTCTCAGTTCATATTCTCTCTCTCTCTCTCTCTCTCTCTCTCTCTCACACACACACACACACACACACACACACACACTGGAGTGTTCAGCTCTGCCTTCCAATCAGTTCATCAGTAATAAAGTTGATCCTCACCTGCCTTTCTCCTTTATCTGCCAATTGATTCTGCACTTGAGAGGGAAATAAGTATATTTATTGGGTTTCCCTCAAATCCCAGTAGAGATGATCCCAGTTGCAAAACAACCAATTGGTATCTGTGACACCCAACTTCATTGCAGTTGATTATCGTTGGTTTTACCCTTCACTAAAACATCAATTGTCCAGTTCCCAGGCCTGTTAAGACCAGAGGTCAGGTCCATGGATAGGGTGAGGTCATCAGAATGAGGTCACAGAGACACTGGTGCCCCCTTTGTCCTGTCATGTGACCTCTGTCACACTTTCACAAGCAATATCTGCCCTTCAGGTGTGCTGAGGATAAATGCAATGTCAGGAGCAGTAAATGAAGTCTGGTGTGGGAGATGTGAACTAGGTAGGCATACCAAGGCTTTGGTCTCCAAAGGATGGTTTAAAGAAAGCAAAAACAATTTTTAAAAAGACAGTTTCAAGCAGAGAAACAGTTTGGCTAAAGGCCCAAAGGGGCCTTGTGACCCTTTGGTTAGCTGTGACTTCTGGGTTAGATTACCAGTGACACAATGACACCTTGTAGGCAGCTCTTCTACCATGGTACCCTTTCCAATCTCCCTCTGTTCTGACCAGCTGGGTGTTTTTCTAAGATTCAACAGTGAAATGTTCCAGAGGTTGCCCATCTACGGGAGTCTGACATGGCATAACCAGGCCATCCAGGCCTCACCAGTCCAACTGTCCTTGAGCTTGTGAACTACAT